ACCGTACGTTAAAACGATATCGGTGCATTCAAGATTTGAAAACAAAGCCATTTCAACACATTTCGTCTATAAATTAGAAATCTGTGCCAAACAAACTTTAAAGGGACAACGTTTAATAAAAACATTGACATAAAAATGATTGTCAGTGTCAAAACGGTTGCTACGGTACCTTCTTCATTGTTGTAGTGTTGCTATTATTTAAGTTATTATTTAAGGTGAACATAGACGGCTCGTGAATATATGGGTGGGAAAATTCGAAATTCGACTTGAGTTTTCGAAAAAGTGCTAAATAAAAAAGTTGTTCCGTTTCACGAGTTCTGTTACTGGTTAAAATTAATGTACTTATTTCTGAGACACCTGTATAGTTAGCAAACAGTAAAGTTGCTGCGGTTTCCGGTGGAGGCGTCTTCTCTCAAAACTTTCACACATTTTTTAACATAAACTGAGAACGTTTCAATAATATGTTATTAATTTTCTGCGTCCACCTCAAACAGCATAAAAGCATAAAAGCAGCTAACCATAATTTGAACTCTTAATACACCAATTACTGTACTTCGTTTTAATTAATTTCGGCTTGCTAAAATAAAAAACAAAGAGTGATAAAAGCTGTATTTTATTATACTGTTGTTGTCGATCTCAAACAGACAAATCTTGAAGTTATATTCGACCTTAAGAAATAAATCAACAATAGTGACAATAATTGATCAGATAGATCAGACCACACCCGACTTGTAGCTGTATCTATTGAGTAACTTTGAAATTGACATCTGTAATGCTAGAAATGCTGATAAGTGGAACATTCCATATAAGACGGTCGCTTTAATACAACATAATTAAGTCTAACAAATTACTTTAACGGATTGAGTTTGATTTATTTATTGACAGGAAGCGACGTTGTGGGAATATTATTCTGGACATATATTTGGTGTAGCTCTTTGTTTATTAATATGAACTTTTATATATGACCAGAGATTCACTGATCGGGCGCTGAAAATAAATATGAACTTAAAGTACGATTCATAAATCAAATTAAGGTATAGACAAAGTTAAAAGACGTGTCGGAAAAATGAAACATTTAGCCATACGTTTAGATTCAGTATTTTATTATGCATTAATCAATACAGGTAGGCACCTATTGTGAACTGAAATCTATTATATTATAATCAGCTATTGTTCACTGCTAATAGAACAATTTTAAACACTATTAGAGTTTGCTTGCTTGTTATCGTTATTTTAGGTTGTTGATAAACTATGTTAGGAACGACATATTTTCAATTGTCATCAACTTTCTTAACTGCCAAACAGAACAACAGAATTCGAGACTTATTAAATTAGTATAATTTTAAAACCAGCAGTACGGTTATTCTTTAGCTCACATTTATTGATAGTAATTTGTGATAAAAGCACATTAATTACTAATTACATAAGCGTATTTTCTATGCACGAGGCATCACAATGTGAAACGAAACCACGACAGGATCTACTGTTCACAGTACCTAACTAAGTACATACCATAAGTAACATAAGTAAACATTTTGCGAACCGCAGGTGAATCTGGCTGAAATGCAGTAGAAATCACTACGTATTTTGTGTTAAAAGTTGCATATAATACTTTTTCTACAATATGAAATTTTACTTCATTGAAAACAGAATTTCAGTAGCAGTAATAGAAACTTACACTTTGAGAGAGAAAGCTTTTCTTTTACGCGTTTCTTATTCCTGCAGCACCCAAAATTTCAACAAGCAATCGACGCCTTTCGAGAGGTACCTTTCCATTTGAAAATTGCAACGTAGTTAGTTGAAATAGTGTGCAGACGTTTTTTGTGTTGTGGGGATAATAACGTGTTTGAGTTAGTTTTAACAAGTTAATAATTTGTGAAATGTTTTAAGTACTTATTCGAAAAGTAATCCATATACCAGCTACTTTATTTAATATTTGGATTTTGTTTTCAAATAAAATTTAGTATACGTAATCATTGTTGCAATAGTTTCATTGAAAATTGCTTCGACAATAAATGTTCACTTTATATCGTAAAATTAAGTGTTGATGTTGCAGATGATTTTTGTGTTACTTTGCAAGTCGTTAATTGGAACTGATTTTACATGATTATATAATTACTTTCGATAAATTTTATTTGAATCATAATTAAGTACATCGGGTACTGCTTTTAGCTTTGTCGGCATGTAATTGCAGTTACTTTTACAGGCTTGTTAATTGCCGTTCGCACGTATTCCGAAAGCAATAAGTCTATTACGGACAAGTTTTTCCGCATCATTGCCTACAATGTATCAAGTTTTTTAATCAAGGATTTTTCATAACTTTATGTATGATTCTAATTTCAAACTTTATTACGCAACGTATTTTTTTAACAAATTTATTATTTATTTTGTAGTAGATTATGTTAATTATTTCTTCAACTTGTATAACATACAGCTTGTTCCTGGCAGCAACATTTGATACCAATTTGTCCAATGAACTGAATTTTAATTTTCTGCTGTTTTTTATGCCATATATTTTAATGCAAAAAATTTCCAAATTCTAAAATTTATGTCATCAACTCATCAGCTATGTAGATATATAATTGTACTGAAGCTATGTATCACATACGTATTGCTAAAATAGTAACAATACTGGGAAAGGTAATGGGATTTTAGGAAATATTTAGATACGACAATTCATGTAGCAGAAGATTCATTATTACAGTTTGGCACTATGTATGTATATTTTAAATTCATTACACAGAAATGAGAATTACTATAATTAATATTTAATATACACTTCAGTTACCTGGTAACTAAACTAACCTGTTCCTGTTAGAAACATTTTCACATAGGTATATAATAAAATAAGACATAACTCGATCTGTAGTGTAAATAGAAATGCTGTCTACCCAAGAGGATTTTGCATGTCTACACGTCTGTCAGGGTTTTAATGTTCGTTTTATTTATTTGAAAAATTTAGCTGCACCTCATTATTGAAATTTAATTTATTGCCCCATACGCTGGAAAGCCATCTTACCATCGCTATTTCAGTCCTGGATTTGCCACAAGTGAGAATCATTAAACATTTAAAACTAAATGATGAAAACCTGTTTTAAGATATGCGGAACGTACTAAATGAGCCAGCAACCTATTCCGTACGCATAACATTTAGGGCCTTAGACATAGTTATTTCTTCAAATTGATGAAATATACATTTAGAAGCTTTTTCTCCACTAGATCCTATTGTGCACATAAAAATAAGCGTGTAAAGAAATCTTTAATAAAATCTATGGGAAGATACTTAAGTAGATTTTGGTGTTCGAATTTTTGTAGAATTAATTATTATTATCATGATCTGAATTAGGCTTATGTGTTTTTTCCAATTATAACTGATCTCACCTTAGAAACAACCAATAAATTAAAAACTTTAAATTTTGCAGAAAGCGTTATAATATTTTTAACACTTAGATAAACACAAATTTATAATTTCACCCTCAGTTTTTTTAGGAAAGCAATTTATTGAGAATAGGAAGTGTTAATGGTGGTAAGTTGATGTTTTTGCTGTACAAAATCTGGCGTTTGATAAATTGAATGTTTGACGGTTTTACACCAAATTCAGTGCAGATTAATACCTTGGACATTATAGCGACAGTCGCACTAATAATAGCATTTTAAGGTAACTTTTATTGTTATTTTTAACGATATAATTTCTCTTTGTATGTTGAAACTAATAGACGATTTACTATAGATTGTAATGGTCAGATTGAAAGGTCTTTGAAAAGGCTAATCATTTAAAATATAGAACTTGATCGCTTGATTTATATGGTTATTACAACAATCCAAGAACTAGAATGATAGATTCATTCATGCATTACTTAATCTCCATGTCGAAAAGATAATATTGTTCAAAGAGTTGTAATATAAAATGACATAACAGAGAAATAATTGCACTCAACCGTTATTTCAGCTAGGGTCGCACGAGTCCACGAATTCTTGTAATTACTTCAATAATTAGGCAGCAATTCGTGAAAAGCAAACTTAGCAAAACCGTTGTGCGTTATTTAATGCAAGCGTTAAGGTACCGCATGGCAAACATTATATAATTGTGGGTTTTTGTAAGCACTGGGCATTAGGTGGATATAATTTACAGTGTCATTACATGCATGATCCTCTTATCTGCTGATAACATCTCATCGCGATTATCGTTGGACCTATTGTTGTTGTGAACATTAGGTGGTTGGACCTTTCTCCGTTTCCGCTCGCTCTGTATATTTTGCTTTGATGAGAGTGATGACAAAATTGTTGGGTTTTATAATAATAACACAAAGTTTTTCCAACAACGATTTATACTACACTTAACTGTAATGGAACAATAATAATGACAATAAAAGGCCCAATTATGTTCGAATAATCAACAAGCTCGACACAGTGTGAATAACACTTGTGTTATTTATTTTTGAAATATGTACACGACGGCCATGATCATAGATGAAAATATTTTTAACAGCAGTAAATACTTGATGACTTGATGACAACAGTTATGTTGTAGGCGTTTAAACTGCTCAATAATTGCAACGATCATTTGCAAAGTTGTCTCCCATGAGAGCGTACGAAGGAAAGGAAATAGCATTCGTTACGTGGAAGGTAATTTCTTACGTGACAATTTTCAGTATTTCATGTGGCACCAAATAAAGTAACTTTTAATTTTTCTCGCACATGTTGCCATTCCACGGAGGGATTAAATTATACCTAAGCTGTTTTTTTAATAAGCCTAAGACCACAATTTATGTTCTTCGGGCCTTGTTTCTACGTAAAGGGTTGCGTTATAGAAAATACTTCCGACTTTTATGGATATTTTAACAGCGACCATTAAGCCCTTTTAATGGCTTTATTTTTTACCTCTACCATGTGTGAATGTCAGTTAACTAATTAAATAGATTAAATCGTTTGATAGTTTTACGTCTACGACGACTGAAGGCTGTTTATGGTATAATAACTTTGGTTTCTTTATGTTTCAGAAAAATTTGTAGAATCCTCCGCCTCGTCAGTACCTTCGACTCCTGAACCTGTCGGTTTAGACTGTACATTAGTTAGTCCGGACATTGAAAGTGGTCGTGAATCACCGGTTGATGTGTCTTCCACATCGGAAACAGGAGTGCCCTCACATTCTGTTCCGAATGGTCGTAGGTCGCCTACGACTGCTAGAAATCCTCTCTTGCAGGAGCGTTGGACGAGTGAAGAACTTCGGACAGTTACGTGTCATCTAGAAACAAAAGATCTCTGGGAAAAATTTAATGAATTAGGAACAGAAATGATTATAACGAAGACAGGAAGGTGAGTTAAACAAGCTAATGTAATTAACTACCAGTATTTTTAAAACTTACATATCGATAAGCAAAAAAAATGACTTTTGAAAGCAAAGACAAATAAAATAAGCAGTGAGCAGTAATAATTATTTCTGCGGCGAAATGTTTAACCCTCGGGAAGTCTCGGATAAAAAAACCTGTTGTGTTTAAAATAAGACCCGTAAAATAACGGTTACAACAACAAAGAGTCAAAAGTCTGTACAATGACTAGGAATAATAGGTTGTAGCTTGTATAAGTATACGTTTTTATTTTTTTTTATGTTAAATGTTATTGTGTTACCAAAATCAGTAAAGGAAAAACGAACAAAAACAAAAGTTTCTAGAGAATTATTCGTTGGCATTAATCAGTTTTTTAATTAAGAAAAATATCGATATCTAGAATTGTTTGGAAAGTCTACTAAAGGAATTTGTTTCCAAATTGCAACCAATAAGTATTCTTATTTCTTACAAAGGTTTAAAATAACAAACTTAATTACCATACGGTGTACAGTGACTTAGTTTGAATAAGTAGACTATAGTTCTTAAAAAAAAAGACAAGGTGTCTACCATATCCACGAATCTTTCAAATTACCCTTGTGTCTTGCCATTGACTATGGAAACCTTACGGCTCATAATATTGGCTGTTTTTTTGCCATGTTTAAGACTTACATGGTTTTTTAATTTGGACATAGAAAACGTTAAAAAGTGCTCTGCACGCACAATTTAATAATTAGGGGAAGTAAAAATTAAATATAAAATATTTAACAGTGTAAAAAATTGTATGTTATACGTTGATCAGATAATGTAATCGCAACAGCCTTAAATTTTGTTAATATTACAGTTTTCATTTGTAAAGAGAATAAACAGAAGATACATACATAGATATTCAGTAATTTTAGTAAAAAAAGAAAAAAATATGGGAGCATTTTGGCTTCCAAAAGTTTATGGTTCGGTTATTCTAAGTCAATTTTTATAATAAATACAACCGAAGCTAAAGATTAAGTTGTCTGTATCACTTAACTAAAGCAGACGGTAGACGTGAAAAGCAGGTAGCCCCTAATCGATTATAAAAGTGTTCGTTCGATGGCGAGATGGCTAATAATGATTAGCTCGGTTGACCAAAAAAACAGGCTATTAAGGTTTTGTTAAACCATTTCATCCCTTATAAGTACTAATGTTGGTAAGTTATTTGAAAAACACAGGTGGCTGTCGAAAATTTGATTGATTATAAAATTGATTGATTACCGCTAAATAACACCTTAGAAGCAGCTCTGCCTGCTCAACTAATGAAATTAGGTTCATCCACCGAAATGAACTGATAGCCAACACATATTTTATCTGAAATTGAAGATTTTCGAATTTGTCAAATCCAATGGCCTTTGGCTATTTTTCCCGGACATTATCGCCGAATAAAAAACCGCTATCGACGCATAAATATGGAGCGACCCTTGAGTTCTATAGATGATAAATGAGGGGCATTATCTTGAGTGATGGCAGTGTTTCAGTCAACGTCGGTGTGTGGCTCCTGTCGTGTTTTAAATGTCACTTATACACTGCACCCCGTGTCGCAGATTAATCACTCACCGTTTGCTACCACTCTCATTACATAAAACTCACGAAAAATAAAGGAAAATTTCAGAATTATTTGTGAATAATCAATTTAGTAAGCAGTTGAAAAGAATCTGACATTGTTTTGAATTGTAACCGTTAAATATTTAGTTCTGTTTGTACGTTCAGTAAACAAATATAAATTAGGTATAAAACATCATATTTTGCAAGGAATAAAATTGAATTACTTGACTTAGTTGTATATTCATGGTAGTAACTTTTTCGGTGCCTGTTAAATGACTTTGTGTACACTTATACCAGACAAATATACCTACTGTAAAGATATCCTATTTTTTTCGTACCTTTTTTTCTACTTTGAACTTAATTTTAAAAATAAAATAATTGTTTCAATTTCAACATTTCATTGTTGCTTTAGGATACATTAACAATTACCGTGATGTAAGCACGTTATGTTTCAGTTTTTTAAATACATCATGTAAAAGGCATTTTTAAGTCAATATTTTGTTATTTACTGATGGTTCCTAAATGCATTAAAACGAGTTATTTTGTGTATATAGGTATGGCATTATGTTAAAATAATAAAAAAATATAAGCTTACTTTGTGTACGATGTCAAATATGCAATTCAGTGCAAAACATTTTTTCGCATTCTAAAAAATTATCTGTGTGTACTTGTAAAGTTATTTTTCTAACAAGCTTTGTGTGATAGACATGATGTGGTACTATAATCTACACGGTATATTTTATTTCGTGTTTTTTTATATTATTACAAAAATGTTTTCAATCTGCATTCAACAGATCTAAAATTTTTTTAAGCAAATTTAGAAAAATAACTTAAAAAAGTATCTTTTGAACTGATAGATATTTAATTACTATTCACAATTAGTCAATTTATGTTAGTTATTGTTTTATAAACAATAATAATTATGTTATGTTTGTGAAGGAAAAGTACTTACATTCATAAAGCTGTAGCTGCGAATGAGTAGTGTAGCAGTTATTTTGAAATATTAATAGTTACCACTATTTTCTTTTATTGTTATTGTTGAGCCTTAAATAAAATTTAGTCATTCATAAGCTGCTTATCAAAATTCACCCATCTTGTTAAATTTTGGGCGGTTGTCACTAAAAAAGTCAAAAAAGTTAAAAGTGAAACAAGCTAATATAGTCAAATGTAAGCAGAAGCTAAAATATCCATCGACACCATGATAGATAGATAGATAGATAGATATATTTGTGCAATATACAAAGCATTTACACAGGTCAAAGAGCCAACAAAAAAAATATAATAAAATACAAAACATAACCAGTAAAATGTCGTACAAGTACGATTCAACACTAGAAAAACAACAGTCCATGGACTGATGTAAACTACTCACAATGTACATATTAAAACTTATACTCTAGGAATTCATTTGCACTATAAAAGGCATGACGCAGGAGAAGTTTCTTTACCTTTATTTTAAAAGCAGAGCCACATAAAGTTCTGTAGCGCTGGGGTAGGTGATTGTATAAGGATATGTTAATGGACAAATTTTTTGTCTTCGTCAATCTAAAACGTCTTGTTCTTACCAAATCAGCTGTTCGGGTATTATATTTATGAATATGATACTGATGAATCATATCACTACGATTTGAGTGAATTTCTATTACCGTGAAATATATAAAAATGCATGGAAGGGTCAATATATTATTCTCAATAAAAAAAAGACGACAGTGCTCGCGACAACCCAAACCCAGCATCACACGAAGGGCCCTCTTTTGTAAGCGGAATATAGTAATAGATAATGGCGAGTTTCCCCATAAAACAATAGCATAAGACATATTTGAATGGAAAAGCGCATAATAGATAGACTTAAGTGCTCCAAAATTAACGATTTCTTTCATTTTTCTTAAAAGAAATATAGTGGAGGAAAGTTTACTGGCCAGACATTTGATATGGTCACACCAGGACAGGTTTGTATCAATTGATAAACCTAGTAATTTTACTGTGTCAGAGTTCCCTACGAGGTTGCTATTGGATGATATTAAGATTTCTTGTGTTTTATTTTTATTAAGTTTTAGAGAGTTAGAGGCAAACCAGATGTCTGCATATTTTTGCGCTGTTTCGGCTTTGTTTAGTAAACTGTTAATACAACGATCTGACGTGATTAGTGAGGTATCATCGGCGTATAGCACACAATTCGCTTTCTTGTTTATAAAATTATAGAAATCGTTTGTATAAATAATAAAAAGCAGGGGCCCTAAAACGGACCCTTGCGGAACACCATGTTTTACTGTTGTAAACGCGGATTGCATGTTATTCACTGCCGAACATTGCTTTCTATTAGATAAATACGAAGAAAAGAGCTTGTGTGGAATGCCTCTAACACCATAGAATTCCAGTTTTGTCATTAGCGTGGTATGACTGACACAGTCAAAGGCTTTGCTTAGATCGCAAAGTGTGACCATATTAATTTCACTATTTTCTAAACCGTCGACTACAAGTTCCATAACTCGTAATAAGGCCTGCGTTGTTGCTTTGCCTGATCTGAAGCCAAATTGTGCTTCGTTGATTACGCGAAATTTCTCAAAATATTTGGTCAGTCGTGATTTAATTAGTATTTCTAAAACTTTGCCAAAGATTGGGATAATGCTAATGGGTCTATAATTGTCAAGCAGAGCCGCATCGCCCTTTTTCTGGATAGGTATAATTTTGCTAAATTTCAAGCTGTCAGGAAACACCCCACTTCCAAGACATTCGTTAAAAAAGTTAGTCAGAGGCGTTAATATTAAACTCACGGTCTCTTTTAGAATTTTAGAATTGATACCGTATATGTCGGTGCAGTTGGAGTTCTTTAGGTTGTTGATAATATTTGAAATTTCGTTATCACATGTAGGCTCTAAGAAAAAATTATTACAAATTTTAGGCATGGTATTCAACAAAATATCCGGTGTACGTACGTCAGTTTTGTCGATCCCTTTTAGAATTTCATCAGCTATATTGGAAAAATAACTGTTAAATTCATTAGCGTCAAATTTTGTGTTTTTCTGACTGGAGTTATTTTTATTTTTATTTCGCAAGCAGTTGATAAATCGCCAGCTGTCTTTGGGAATATTATCAGACTGAGCAATGTACGAGCTGTATGCGTTTTGTTTAGCATTCATTATGGATTTTTTATAAAGGGATCTTGCTTGTTGGTACGCTTTTTTATCACTAAGGTCTTGGGTACAGTCAGAAATTATTTTGATCGCAGCAATTGAATCCCTCATACGTCGCAAGTCGTCGTTAAACCAGCTGATGGTACATTTGTTGGATATGATACGTTTTTTTAGCGGAAAACAGAGTTTGATCAATCGCTGATATGTTGTAACTAGGTATGTAGCAAAAGTGTTAACATCACAATTGGTTTGCATAGATAACCAATCCACGGATATGAGATGA